GGATTAAGTCTTAGAAAATGAATGAATAAATAATTGAACCTCTTCAAACATTTCATTTTACTTCAATCTCCTGGAGACAAACATGGGCTTACAATAATAAAACTAAACAAAAAAACAACAGTTTTATTCTGAATCTAAAATAAGAAATTTTTTTTTTAAATGCAGCATAATGTAGATTTTTGGAGGGTTTTTTTAAAGCAGGGAAGGAATGTGGGCAACAATGATGCACCACACAACAAAGAATTCTGTCATCCATCCAACCAATCCATCCAACCACCCACCCATCTATCCATCCATCCATACATTCATCCATCCATCTATACATCCACCCATCTCCATCTATCCATCCATCCCCCCATCCATCCACCCATCCATCCACCCATTCATCCGTTCATCCATCCATCCATCCACACATTCATCCACCCATCCACCCAACTATACATCCACCCATCCACCCATCCATACATTCATCCATCCATCCATCCACCCATCTGTCCATCCACCCACCCATCCAGCCATCATCCATCCATCCATCCATCCATCCATCCATCCATCCATCCATCCATCCATCCATCCATCCATCCATCCATCCATCCATCCATCCATCCATCCATCCATCCATCCATCCATCCATCCATCCATCCATCCATCCATCCATCCATCCATCCACCAGGGTTTAATCCTGTTCTGTGTCTCACACAGAAAATCCATAAATAATACCTGAGTCCAGTCCAGTCCGTCGTGGACCGACATGATCCAGGTGGAACCGTCGTCGTTATCATCGTGATCCCACTGTCAAATGTCAGAATATTAAACACTCATCAGCAGGATGTTCTGGCTGAGGCCATTTCCTGCCACATTAAAATGCCGTTGCACGTCAGAAATGATTAATTAACACCCAGCGCGTCTTATATGATTACACACACACACACACACACACACACACACGTCTGACTCACGTCTCTCTCTCACATACAGTTACATATCTAACGACATCAGAACTCTAATTTCTCGGCGCTCACCGACGTCTGCGGCGATGCCGGAGGATGGCGCTGGCTCAGCATCGGCCATTCGTCTCAGAGGCTTTTTTACATAATCACGAGCTGCATCTTCAGGCAGATTAATGGAGGCTGCAGCGTTGGGGAGGGAGGCGGCGTAAACAGGTCAACATGGGAGGATACGTCATTCTCCACACGCTCCAAAGTCTGACTTTTTTATGTCTGTGAGCAGAAAGTAGGTCGTGATAGCCGACATCGCAATCTGAAATGAAAAAAAAACAAAAACATTTCAGGCAGGCGTTCGACTCACATCCACAACACATTCAACAATAATTTGTCGTCGTCTGAATTTTTTTTATCCATGTAAACAGCACATAAGCCCTTGTTTTGTTTGTCTATGACCTGAGGTGAAGCAGATTATTTTGTCCTTTTATTAAGTATGACGCTCTATAAAAAAAAAAGATTAAAATCCCACCCACTCAGAAAACTAATCACCAATCAGGATGCTCCGTGCCTGACACCTGCTCCACCATAAACATCTTTATTTTTGTCAGATGCACACTCTCTCTGCTGCTCGGGATTTTTATTTATTTTTTTAATTTGTGGGCAAAAACAACTATACATATATAAGTGATACAGGAAGAGGTCAAAGGTCAAACTTCTGACCTTTTGGCTCATCCATTGCCATCAGTTAATACGTACATTTCCCACCTAAGCTCGTACAGACAATACAAACCGACAACTATATTTCCCAGCTTTAACCACGAGCCTCATTGACTCTGATTATAAACTCCCAACTTTGCCCTCAGTGTCGTCTTGAAGGCTGAAGTCGCCCTTCAAACTTGGCACACGGGCGGCGTACCGACGAAGCAAACGGGATGTGACAGGCTGTCAGTTGAAAAGTTGAGCTTTTCAGAAATTGCCCGGCACAGAGTGTTAGGACAACGTGTCTCAGACGCAGCTCTGAGACGCTTAGCCGCGCTTTCGCATTCACATTTAATGAGCATCGCTGCTGCCTATGTGGGAGTGAGTGTTTTGTTACTGTCAGAGCTGCCGGGGCGGACGGGTTGTTACGGTATAAATACTACACCTTCTCAACAAATGCCCTCGGACGCAGCAAACAACGGCGTCGAGCGGCACAGTCGCCTCACATCTCCTTGCCGTGATGGCGGCTGTGATGGCGGCCGTGAAGCGTGCGGTTCAAACCCTGGCCTTTGGAAAGGTAACTGACGTAACAGGAGCCAGTCTGGTGTTTGTTCACCGTACGGCTGCCGTGTTGACAACTGAAACAGGTGGCGTACGTTAACCTGGTCT